GGATAGTACTGGTGTCTGATGGTGATACGCAGGGACACAGTGATACCCAGGATAGTACTGGTGTCTGATGGTGATATACAGTGATACCCAGGATAGTACTGGTGTCTGATGGTGATACGCAGGGACACACTGTTACCCTGGATAGTACTGGTGTCTGATGGTGATACGCAGGGACACACTGATACCCTGGATAGTACTGGTGTCTGATGGTGATACGCAGGGACACACTGATACTCTGGCATTGATCTTTTAACTTGAAGGGATGCTAAGAGTTGTTGGTAAACCTCCAGGTCTCTTGTTTCCCCGATCTCTCTCTGACCTCTTCTTCCTTGCTACCCTCTGTATTCCCCGGTGTACCCTTCTTCTACACCCCTTCCCCCAATCTCCACCTCTTCTCGCCCCCCCCATCCCCCACCCCACCCCACCCCTCCCTCAAAGGCTCCAACTGCTGGAGGAGAGTCGGCAGGAGGAGGTTGAGGATGACAGGTTGGCTATGTCTCTCCTCTCGCTTCTCTAATGCTGTCCTCATTTTGACAGGTAGTTCCCAAACCTGGAGGAAAGCCCACTAGCAGCTCGTCAGCTGACTCTTGTCTCTCCAGCCCTGCCCCCTTACCCTCCCCCCACAGCGGGCCGTATGCTCTGCATATGCGCTCATGTCCTTTGGTCCTCACAGAAAGTGCTAAGGTTATATTTGTCTAAGAAGTTGCGGATGCCTTAAGATCACAGAGCAAGATTCTATAGTCAATTAAACGTTCAAATGTCAGTAACTTCTCTGAAATAATCCTTAGTGTCTGCTCCCAAAAACTGTACCGAACCGCTCATTTGGACCTGTGGGTGGGTTTTATGTGGTCTGGTAACTACCCTTTCCTACTGTAATCACCAGCCTAAACTGTTCCTTACTCTGGCTCCAGTAATTTACTAACTTGTCTGAACTTGATTGGTAGTCTTATAGCTTGATTTTTCTTGATCTGATGTTATGTTTTGTGCTCTGTGGCACTTTGAACTCTATCCGATTAAGCTCTTCATTAACAGTTTGCTTTAATTAGTGCTAAGTGTTTTGTAGGAGTTTATATTTGAGTAGTAACACTACAGTACGAGCCTGATCTTGTGTCTGTAGTTTGGCTTCAGGTCCATGCTGTCCTACTCGTGCTTACGTTGTCTTAGTAATATAATAGAGGAACTTTTGGCATGAATGAGTAACTGTGAAGTGTGTAGCGGGTTGATCAGTTTCCTACCTCCCTGTTTCTTATCTCTCCCAGTGTGATCAAGGAGGAGCTTCCTGACAATGAGCAGGACAAGGCAGCAGACATGGAGCTGTGTGAACGAGCCATCGATGATGGCAAAATGGTGCGCCGACCCTCCTCCCGCTGGCTCCCCCTGGTGGGCAGTATGCAGAACTACCACACAGCTTTTCGGCACCAGCGTTGATGACATGGCGTCTGTTTTTGTAACACCAACAGGAGGTGCAAGAGGGAAGTGACCACGAAGAGGGGGAGGAGGAGGAGGAAGAGGAAGAGGAGGAAATGGAAGCAGAGGAGAGCTCTGATGAGTCTGACTCTGAGCTTGATGAGAAAGGTGACATCTTATTGGACAGCCTGAACATTCTGCTGAATGGGGAGGAACGTAAGACAGGTACCACATCTCATTCCTAACCCAAACCTCATTCACCTCTGCTGTGTGCTTCTGTGCCGGACAGAGAACTTCCAGGCAGACCTGGCCAACATCACATGTGAGATCGCCATCAAGCAGAAGCTGATCGATGAACTGGAGAACAGCCAACGGAGGCTGCACACGCTCAAGCAGCAGTACGAGCAGAAACTGATGATGCTGCAGTGCAAGATCCGGGATACTCAGCTGGAGAGGGACCGCGTGCTACACAACATGGGTGGGTGTAGCTGGAGGCCTCTCCCGCCCGCTCTCCATAGCCCTGGGGCTCCATAATCACGGGCTCTCACGTTTTTCAGGTTCGGTGGAGACCTTCACCGAGGAGAAGGCCAAGAAGATCAAGGCCGAGTATGAGAAGAAGCTGAGCCTGATGAACAAGGAGATGCAGAAGCTGCAGTCGGCCCAGAAGGAGCACGCCAGGCTACTGAAAAACCAGTCACAGTACGAGAAGCAGCTGAAGAAGCTGCAGCAGGACGTGGTGGAGATGAAGAAGACCAAGGTACTGTCGGGCGGCCGCCAGGGCCAGCAGGACCCGTGAGTGTCACTGGGAGAAGACCTGGTCTCACAGTAGCATCTCCTCAGGTTCGCCTCATGAAGCAGATGAAGGAGCAGCAGGAGAAGAACCGCATGACCGAGTCAAGACGGAACCGTGAGATTGCTACCCTGAAAAAGGACCAACGCAGACAAGAGGTGGGCATTAAGGGGGGGGTCAACCAGGCATGAAGTAGGCACTCAAGGGGGTCAACCAGGCAGGAGGGGGCACCGGGGGGGCAGTAAATCAAGCAGGAGGTGGGCACTCAGGATGAGGTGGGGTTAAATCAGGCAAGAGGTGGGCATTGAGGGGGGTAAATCAAGCAGGCAGGAGGTGGGCAATGGGGGGGGGGGTAAATCAGGCAGGAGGTGGGCACTGAGGGGGGGGTAAATCAGGCAGGAGGTGGCAATTGGGGGTGCAGGGGTAGTTTTCTAGGTAATTTCCTTTGGATTTTCCTGTTGCATTTGAGCTGTTGTTCTACATCCTGCCCCACAGCATCAGCTCAAGCTTCTAGAGGCACAGAAGCGACAGCAGGAGCTGATCCTGCGCAGGAAGACCGAGGAGGTGAGAGGCAGCCAGCTAACTGCTGGGCGTGGCTACAGGCAGCCAGCTAACTGCTGGGCGTGGCTACAGGCAGCCAGCTAACTGCTGGGCGTGGCTACAGGCAGCCAGCTAACTGCTGGGCGTGGCTACAGGTCGGCCAAACTTTAAAAAAAGGTCCTTGGCTTTAATTATCAGCTATTCAAAAAATGGACTCTGGACCTGTTTAAACATCTCATGTCTGTGTCAGGTAGAGTTTGGATGAGATTCATAACTAACTTTCTTTTTAAAGCAGAGCTAAATGCTGATATTTAGTCTAATTACTTAGCAGTTCCTTCTTCACGGGTTTTGAGCTCCTTTGACCTCCCGGTGACCCTGTCACAGGTCACCGCCTTGCGGCGTCAGGCGAGGCCAGCGTCGGGGAAGGTGAACCGCAAGGTGAGCTTACCGGAGCCACTCCAGGACCCCTCCCATCGGACCCCTGCTGGCCGCATGCTCTCTGGTGGCGGTGTGGTGGCTCCCAACGGATCCAGGTACCTCTCCTACGGCTCTGCTCCACTGTACCGGGGGTATGGGGGGGCGCGGGTCGGGTCGGGCCTAACGTGGGCCTGCTTCTGTCCCAGGAAGTACCAGCAACGCCTCGGTGGCGTGTACTCCACCAGGATGGCCCGGACCAAGTGGCAGTCCCTGGAGCGTCGTATCTCTGACATCATCATGCAGAGGATGACCATCTCCAACATGGAAACTGACATGAACCGACTTCTCAAGGTGTGTCTTCTAGGATGAGACTCTGGGTCTCCACCAGCAACCGGTTCTGCATCACCACCAGCAGGGGGGGCTACCGCAGGTGACTCGACATCAGCCATTCCCGTGTTTGATCTCTTTTATTCATCCTTGGATAACAGCAACGTGAAGAACTGACCAAACGGAGGGAGAAGGTTTCCAAGAAGAGAGACAAAATCGCCACAGAGGGGGCGGACGCAGACAAGACGGTGCAGGCCCTGAACGAGGAGATGGAGTCCCTGACAGCCAACATCGACTACATCAATGACAGCATTGCTGACTGCCAAGCCAACATCATGCAGATGGAGGAGGCGAAGGTACCAGCAACATCTCGGTCTATCCTCACACCATCGAGACCCTCTGCTTGAAGACCATGGAGCCATGGAAGCCTGTAAGTGAGCTCTAAAGCCTGTTTCCACCAACAGGAGGAGGGTGACACCGTGGACGTGACGGCCGTGATCAGCTCCTGCACCCTCTCGGAGGCCCGTTACCTGCTAGACCACTTCCTGTCCACGGCCATCAACAAGGTATCTTCTGAAAGATGAGCTACACGTGTTATTAACTGGGCCAGGCTAATGAGTAAAGTCTGCGTCATTGTTTCAGACACTAAATTCACTACAGAGTCGGCATTTCGGTCACGTTTCACAGTTTGCGGTGCTTATTTCTTCTGGTTGATCTACGCGTGACCGTTCTGTTGACCGTGAGTCTGATATGAAGGATGTTCACACTCGTACAGCATGCCTCGCACCTCCTGTAGATGTACGTACGCATGAACGTGTCGGTACGTCACCGAGCGGCAGGCTAGGCTGTTCCCAGGCCCCAGTGTGTAGGAGAACGCGACACGTTAAAGGTTCCATCTGCTCCGTCCAGGGACTGCAGGCGGCCCAGAAGGAGTCGCAGATCAAGGTGATGGAGGGCCGCCTCAAGCAGACGGAGATCAACAGTGCCACTCAGAACCAGCTGCTGTTCCACATGCTGAAGGAGAAGGCGGAGTTCAACCCCGAGCTGGATGCCCTGCTTGGCAACGCGCTGCAAGGTAGCACCAGCCTTGCGGGCAGGTGCTGTGCAGACCTGGCCTTGGAGTGCTGAGCCTCGGGAATGGATGCTGACGTCTGGGGTCACGGCGACAGCAAGGGTCACTGAGGTCGTACCCAGAATTAGCGTGCGACTGGGGCGGCATAGATGCTCAGCGCAGTAACCCTCTACACCCACCAGGTGTCAGTATTTTTGACTGAATAGTGGTTCCCTCTCACACGCCGGACCCCGGGCCCCGATGGCAGCATCTCTCCCCGACGCCGCTTCTGGCATTAGAGCCCAGTTATGGCCGCTTCTTCTTCCTCTTGGCTTCGGTTGGGTCGGGATCAGCCTGTTGATCTGTGTGTTTCTGTCCCCCCCTGTCGCCCAAATCCAAACAGAGCTGGGTAACATACCAGCAGGTGAGTATCGGACGTCGGGCCCTCTTGCTGCCACCGTAATGCGTGCATGGGCCCTACCGCTAACCTGCGGGCGTAGCCGCGCCAAGCGGTACAGCATGCGGTGCTTTGCTGCGACGCTCCCCCGCCCCGCCCCCCCACCACTGACCCCACGCTGCAGCCACGCATTAGAACCCCTAACCATCCTTAGAGTGCCTTCTAGACTGGACCTGATACCGGGATCTGTGGACCCTCCCAGGACCCCCGTCTGCTCTTGAGTCCGCTGTCGTGCACCCCCCCAGCCGTCGGTTCTGTTGACTTCTGAGATCCGAGCTGAGCTGCTGTTTTTGCCGCATCTCCAAACAGCATGTCATTCGAGCCGCTGTGTCCGTCCGCTTTGCCTTTTTTTTGCCAAGTGTGTTTGTGCACAGATCTCTGTTTGCGTAAGGTTTCAAGAGAAGGAAGATACCCACGCACTTGGTATATATGCGCGCCATTTCTGAAAGCATTAGTGGCCCGTGTGAGAGCGGCGGCTCAGCCGCTACGACCGCTGACTGGCGATGTTTTCGTCACACAGAGAATGGAGAAGAGAGCAGCAGCGACGAGTCTGCGCAGAGTCCTGCGGCCGAAGGGAGGTAAGGTCCCGACCAGCCTCCGTCGCCGTGGAGATGCTAGTATGCGTTTCGTCATGGATTTGACCCCCGTGTGTCGCCCTCCCCAGCTCCCTGGCTTCCGACCTCATGAAACTCTGCGGGGAGGGCAGACAGAGGAGTAAGGTATTTCCCTCAAAGTCGCCGCGCTCTGTGAGATGGACCACGGCCTGGAATGGCCTTCGTTGGTTGGATGTTGACAGTATGTTTTATATGGCTGGCGTGCTGTACCAGTGATCGGAAGTTCTCCAGCTCAAATCCCAGGATCCTAGGAGTGCTGTCACCGGGTGATGTGACCCTTAACTGCTAATTGCTACAGGGACTGTTTGACCCTGCTTTGTCAATTCCACGTCGCTTTGGATGAAAGCATGTGAATGTATACTTGCGCGTTTTTCTTGCTTGTGTGGCACGAGTGACCTGGTCTCCCCGTGTCTGTCCCTGGCACAGGCTCGCAGAAGGACCACCACCCAGATGGAGCTGCTCTATGCCAACAGCACCGACCCCTCATCTGATGTATCTGCTGGCGAATTCTCCTCCCCCCTCCTTCCATTGGCTGAGACCCAGGAAGGGGGCGGGGACCCAGAGGGCACCGGGGTGTCCCATAGGGATAGGGACTTCCTGGGTCCTGCTGCAGGCTTGTCCTTAAAGCTGGGTAGCATGTAAGTTTGGACCAGCACGCTAACCTCACTCACCCATCTGCATGAATGCACGCTTGCTGCTGCAGCCGCTGTCCTTTTTGTTTCTTTCCTATCTGAAAGCAACCCCCACCTCGCCAAAAAATACACAGACTGCCCTGCAATGGAAACACAAGCAGACACATACAAGGTTTGCGATGAGCTTTTCTCTAAGGCTGCATTACACCATAGCATGTAGCTTGTGAGCACCATGTCTTTACGTTTAACTCCAATGTAACTCATCCGTAATTGAAGTTGCTCGGTAACTTGGACAGAAAAAAAACGTGACACTGCTCTCAGATCAGCTGCCCTGAGCTCCAGTGGGGAAGGGTGACCCCTGCTCGGGACGGTCTGTTGCTGCTGCGACTCCTCTCAGCTACATGGCTCCGTCTGTTCCTTCTGAGGTTCGTTTGGCTGTTTCCTACTGGTCTGCTCAGTTCGTCCACAAACTGTAACCTTAATGGGTCTGAAATCACTTTCCTAAACACCCACGGCTGGGCTCAGTGAGTCTCTAACACTTTTATCAGAGAAGCAGCTTGGGGACACCTTTCGGTGCGACACACAGTTTGGGTGTCACACTATAAAGAGCCCCCAGCGCACGAATGACTAATGAAGAAGGACCTTGAATTTGGGACTGGGTAACCAGGTAACGGTCCACATACTCCAACCCATACTGCATGTCCTACACTGTCTGTACATACCTGATGGGTCTTATTCTGTTTGCCTTGAGTTCTGCCTCTTCCACCCCATCCGCCCTCTCCCGGCGTCGTCATTAACTACACACGCCTGTTCAAACATCAGCTCCAGTGCACGGCCTCTCCCGGGGGCTGAGAGGAGACCGCCTGAGCCCTCCCCTCTCACCAGGAGGAAGATGTATGAGAAGGCCCAAATGGCAGTCGACAAGGTCAAGGGCAAGGAGATGAAACAGTAAGAGCTAGCGCCGCCCTGCTGGCCGGAGGCTGAAGTGACGATGAGCTGCTGTTATCAGCCCTTGACGTGCACAGAAAAAGCATGTTTTTATAAAATCAGTGATGGCACAGGCTGATCTCATTCTCTTCTCAAGTCCTACACTGAATGTGAACATCTTTAATTAGACTCAAAGCATCTTTCCCCACTCAGTTAATTTGTGCTCGCTGTGTGTATTTGTGTACGTTTATGCACAAGTATAAGTCAGTCAGATATTCACAGTAATAAGAAGCAAATCTGCAGTTTGAGCAGACATTCAGTGTTTGACTTCCTGATCAACATTTTGGCCATTTGATTAAAACTTCCCTAATGTCTTAGAGTACCTCACCCCATCCACTGTTTCCTGTACTTCTTCCCAAGCATTTTCTGAGCTCCAGCTTAGAGTTTGAGGAAACATGGCTCACGGCTGTCGCCCCTCGCGATCCTAGTTAATGGCTCTGTGGCTCTGTAGTCTGTTTGATCTGCATCGCTGTAGTATGGCTGATGGTCTCATACTTCTGACTCTAAACGCCACCCTCCTGCTGCTCCCCGGGGCCGGTCCAGGACCACAGAGTCACATAGAGTCACGGTGCCGTAGAGTTCAGGATGCCGACACGTGCGGCATGGCTGCGGTTTGCCGACTGCCTCTGCCTCTGCCTCAGCCTCCATGTCTACCTCCCCAGCCCCGACTCAGGGACCCCCGAGGCCGGCGCGTCCCTCCCCTCCCCTCCGGGCCGCTTCCAGCAGAACGTTTTTAATCGCCTAACGCTTCCTCTCGAGAGTGCAGATCCTCCACTCAATAAGTAAGACAAAAACCACCCAGAGACTTTGACTGAGCATTAATAAGTGAGAACTTTATTTCACAGATTTAGTTAGATTCAGACATTACTTGTGTAGAGTGATTGTCCTTGATATTATTGGCAGTATAACAACATACAGAGTGGAAAATTTAAAATTTCTTTAATGTAACTTCAATTTAATTACTATGGCTAAGGTGACATCATCCCCTAGAAAGGGTGATACTTCAGAAGGTCATGAATGTGTAGCACTGCTCCATCTTCATGCTGCAGTCCCAGTCTCCCAGTCTCGCTGTCATGTTGGTGGACGCGTGCTGGCCGTCCTCCTGATCCTGTCCTCCTGGACGCCTCCCTGTCTCTCTCTCTCGTAACTCTGGCTCCTTCCCCCTGAGCACTAACCCTCCTGCCCCTTTTTTTCTCTGCGAGGCGACACGTCTGGTGATGCGAGCGGCTCGCCCTGTGCCTTGTCGTCAGACACGATGCCCCGGTGTGTCCGTGCTCTCTTCCTGCGCCGGCCAAGGAGAGAGGAGGCGCTGTCGTTAGTAACTGCAGTGGTGGGGGGCAGAGGTCCCGGAGTGGGGTCCTGCTGCTTCTCAGTCACTGTCACGGTTGCTTTCCTTTTCGACTAAACACTACGTGTCTCTCGGCTGACTCGTCCGTGATGTCACTTCCTTTCCCGCCTCTCGCCGTTTCCTGCAGACCTGGAGGTTTAGGGACTCTGTGAGGTCTCTCGGCCTGTTCCCGTTTCCTTCTGTGGGGGTGGGGGATTTTTTCGTTTTTTTTTTTTCTTTTTTGCTGCATGTGGACGGGCGGCTGTGTCATGCATGCAGGGGGGCGGGGCGTGGTCACATGGTCATGTGCATGCTGCATTTGCGGTGTGCGGTTTTCACGTTTGCCTGTGTGGCCGGGGTCGCGGTGTCCTGTGAGGGGTGGGCGTGACCCTTTTGTCTGTGTGCCCCGCCCACAGAGGCGTGATCAACCCTGTGCCGTCATCCAAAAGCGGCCGGGCAGCGACACTGCAGTGTGTCCACGTGGCCGAGGGACACAGCAAGGCCGTGCTCTGCGTCGACTGCACCGACGACCTGCTCTTCACTGGCTCCAAGGGTCAGGTCGCCGTGCCAACCCCTTCCCAGCATGCATCGGGTCCCACTCCCCCCAACCATCATGTTCTCCACATTTTCTGAACAACTGCGCATCTTTACACCTTCATATATTTATCTATGACTTGAAATATGGCCATAGAGATCTGCAATAAATGTCATCTTTTTGGTGTGTGTTACCGTCCCAAAGTGGTTTGTGTAGGACGATGTCACCTGCCAGGTGAAACTCTATCCTACCTGTAAGCGTGATGTCAACAGGAAGTCAGAGTAATGATGACCTCCCGATGACCTCTGTCTTTCAGACCGCACCTGTAAGGTGTGGAACCTGGTGACTGGGCAGGAGATCATGTCCCTAGGGGCTCACCCTAACAACGTGGTGTCTGTGAAGTACTGTTCCAGCCTGGTCTTCACCGTCTCTACCTCATACGTCAAGGTCTGGGACATTCGGGATTCGGCCAAGTGCATCCGGACACTGACGTGAGCGCTTCTGCCCTCTTGTGGTCATTCATATCTTCTCTGACTTTACCATGCGCACGTAGAAGGGATTATGCATTACTCCGCACATGTGCACCCACACTCTTGTTTCTGTGCATGTGCCGCAGGTCTTCCGGTCAGGTGAACACCGGCGACGCCTGTGCGGCCAACACTAACCGCACCGTCACCATCCCAGCGGGGGAGAACCAGATCAACCAGATCGCCCTGAACCCCACGGGCACCCTCCTGTACGCAGCGGCTGGCAACTCTGTCCGCATGTGGGACCTGAGGAAGTACGACCTTTGACCCCTGACCTTTGCTTACATATTGCAGCCAGTGGGGCTTTGCTTCAGACAGAATCTGTAACCACCCCCTCCCCACCTCGCCCTCAGGTTCGTGTCCTTAGGGAAGCTCACTGGGCATCTTGGCCCAGTTATGTGTCTTACAGTGGACCAGACAAGCAAAGGTCAGGATCTGGTCATCACTGGTTCTAAGGACCATTACATTAAGGTAAGGACCATTTGTCCATACGTCCTGCTAAGGGATCAGGGGTCTCCGTGGTCCGGTGGTACAGTGAGGTGGTGAAGAATCTCACCCAGAGGCAATTCTAGGATTTTTTATGGTGGAGGGCATAAGAGGATCCATAAGTCATACACAAGGGCCGACCTTTTCTTTACCCAATGATATGTTTTGAATCGGTGAGTGACAGGGGATGGTATACTCTGGGAGCCAATCAGCTTTCAGCTGGGGCCAGTGCCCCTGTGACCCCTCCCCTGTACATGTGCCTAATGCCCCCTTTCCTTTTACGGATTCCTTGTGAACTTCTCTGCTTTTCTGGGGATTGTTCTGCAGATGTTTGACGTGTCGGAGGGCACGCAGGGCAGCGTGAGCCCCACACACAACTTCGAGCCCCCCCATTACGACGGCATCGAGTCGCTGACCGTGCAGGCGGACGAGCTGTTCAGCGGCTCCCGGGACAACGGGATCAAGAAGTGGGATCTGTCCCGCAAAGACTTGCTGCAGGTGAGGGGCGGCCATCACACGTCTCCTCGTTAACTGCTTAATGCGATCTGTTAACTGGCACACTAACGGGGGGGAGGCTTGAGTAAGATGATCGAAGTCTTCCTGTCTCCCTCAGCAAGTGCCAAATGCCCACCGCGACTGGGTGTGCGCGCTGGGCCTGGTGCCCGGCTGCCCTGCCCTGCTGAGCGGCTGCAGAGGGGGGGTGCTCAAGCTGTGGCACTCGGACACGCTGGCGGCCTTGGGGGAGATCCGAGGGCACGAGAGCCCCATTAATGGCATCTCCACCAACAGCACCCACCTCTTCACCGCCTCCGAGTGAGTGCACCTCCCCACACACGCCTCTGGCTCTCCACCCAGTCCTCACACCTCTGGCACCTCACGGTCTCCATCTACGATGCTGAGTGCTGTGGCATCTTGTTTGTGTGATCGACAGTGACCGGACGGTGAAGATCTGGCGCGGGAGGGGGTCCATCGACGGCATGGCAGATGCGCTCGATGCCACGGAAGACGTCGCCAGTAACTGAGCAGGGTGTGCGACCCATATGACTTGGAGAGGTTCCTGGGGGGGAGGGGGTCCTGAAGCGAAGGCCAGCAGCACGACGCACTTTGGGGGGGGGGAGGCTGGGGGTGGTGGTGATGGGGAGTGGCCTGGACCCAAGCCTGTCTGGTCCATCTGCAATGTCATGTCCAAAGTGAAACGGGACCGTTACAGCTGATGTCTCCCGTTCGGCTCATGATGGACGTCCCTGGACGTGTCTCACTGCTTGCGTCCTCTTCCCCAATCCATACTCAAAGCTGTATAGTGTCCTGATAGGAAGCTCAACACAAGTGGGTCCAACACGAAAGGCGTAGGGGCGAGGTGTCCAACAGCCGGTCCCAAACCAGTCCACAGAAGACATGTCCGTGACTCAGTGTAGAGTTCAGTCAGACTGTATATCGAGTTTCTGTCGTCTTAAGTGAGAGTGACTTCATGTTAACAGAAACTAAACCACCAAGGTTTGCTTTGATGTCAGACAGTTAGTGTGAACAGTCCTGGGTTCCTCTCAGCAGTAACTGCGCTACTCACAGTATTCAGAGCGTGATGTTTCCTCTGTTCTCCCCAGCGTTGTTCTTCATATCCCTTCTAGCCTTCACTGATCATTGTCATCCACACATTCTCTAACATGATGCTGTTGAAAGCCTAGAAGATCTGACTAGATGTTCCTGCTGCTGCATCTGCATACTAACCAGTATATCCCACATGTGAGGCCCACCCCACAGGTGCAAGCTGTACATATCCTTCCATGCGAGGACAGAGAGCTCTCCGTAAGCCTAATTCTGTAGACATTTCAGTAACACTACATCTTCATGTGCAACGAGCCCTTTCTTCCTGTGTAGGTTCATTCACGTTTGTGGTTCGGCCTTTGACCTTCGTCTGCAGCTTTATGTATATAAGAGATCTGTTTTTTTTTTCCTCCCGATTCTTAGCTGCAGAAAAATGCCTGTCTAGCAGTTCTAATGTCAGATGCAGCGTGAAATAAATGTCATCTGTCAAAATCAAGTTGAGGGAGGGTTGCTCTGTGTCGTCGAATGGGTGGACGTCGGGTGACAGGCTCGCCCTGGATGCATTTCTGGGGAATGCATCATGTGCCTTCGGAATCGGGCAATTTCAGGCACAGGAAGGCTGCCACATGCGGCAGGAAATGACACGTGTGCCTTTGTGACTCAGCGCCTGAACGCCTCATCAAACGGGGCGACGCTGAGGAACAGCCAATGTTTACTGAGGTTTACAGCCGTCATCACAGAACATGCTTTTAGAGATGGTCAGGCTGCTATTAGATAACACCAACACCACCTGTTCCATGTTTCTTGAAACAAATATAAAGTTTTGGCACTGTCCTAGGTGTAAATTAAAGGGTTCAAATCTCCAGTCTCCCTGTAGGTGGGATGCGTACAGTGCAATATATAGAGTTATCACTAGGTGGCAGTGTTCTGTCACAATAGGCCTTTGGCTTTCATTGCTTTGCTGTCCAGAAGGAAATACCCACAGAAGGGAAGCACAAGCTCACATTCAGGCCTGGGCTCTGGACTCCTTTCCTAGTATCTCTGATGAAGGGTCACTTCCTCACACAAACCACAGAAGACTCAACACGGCAAAGCAGTGCTTCGTGTGTCTGAACCGAACGGCTGCAGCACAGTAGCAATCGGAAAATGATGCAGCCTGGTAAGTGTGAATGTTTAGCATAAAGGGCACTCGGCTGGGATTACATGGTGAAAGATTCTCAAGCTTAACCAGGCTGATGATTAGGGCTGCATGTGTGCTACAGGGCACCCAGGAATAGTACAGACATATCACGGAGACTCCAGTATCTGGGGTTACTTTATAATTATTTCTGGGATTACTGTTGCAATGATCTTCTCATGGGTGCCATAAAAATTAAAATACCTGGGGTTCAAAAATATATGAGTCTGTAGGCTTAGCATGTTCATGGGAGTTTTACTTAAATGAAATTGTTCTGTGGGCAGAAGAAATGATTGGTTCAGAGAATTAACCAAACAGATTGTACAATTTGATTGTGTAATCTCTCTGAACCAATCATGTTTCCTTATGCTCTCATAACATTTTTGCATAAGTAAGATTCCCACGAGTGCTTAGCAAACCTTGGTGCTCATTCATCCTCACACAAAGCTTCACAAACTTTGAAAAAGGTTCACTGTTGGTCATTAATGTAGCCCGAGAGATGACAACATATTTTAGTGCAAACTTAAAACTTCTGGAGTGATTTGTACAATTATGGAACAGTGTTCTATACATTGCTAGTGGTTTATAGTTAAGTTTCTGCATGAATAAAGGGATAGTTTTGCATATACGGGTGGGCTTTATAGAGAGTGTTCCTGGTGAGTCTAACCTATAGGGCTGATTGATCTATGAACAACTGCAGTCTAGGGTTCTTGTCTGGGGGGTTCATTTTAAGGCGTCTGACGTGAACACAATCTCTTTCCCTCCTCTGGTTTTCCTAAGCTTTCAAAGAGCCAAAAGAGCGAGGGTTAATTAGGGTAAGGCCCCCCTGCGGGTGAGCGGACTCCGGTCAATATGCCAGGAGGGGTCGGGCTGGAGCCACGCGGCCAGCGGCCTGGCCCCCCCACGGGAGGAAATCGATGGGCTCTCCCACACTTCAACCAGACGCGGCCCGGCCGACCAGTGCTGGTGGCGTCTCACAGCGCTCCCCCCGCTGGTGAGAGAAGAAAGCACAAAAAGCCCCTAAGCATCCAAGGCTGCTGTGGACACAGAAGATTGAAAATCAAAAAAAAAAAAAAAAAAACAACATGAAGGGCATCCTGCTGTTTCTATTGGCCCACAGGCCGAAGCAGGAGTCTGTACTGTCACTCTGCAGCGGAATTATTTAACATCCATGGCTGAGAGAAAACTGCAGAACAGTTTCGTTCATGAATCTGAAATGTGAAAAAAGTTAACTGTTATATTACTGCTGTGTGTATATTCATCGATGTGTGCTGACACTCAGACACTTGGTCATTCCATGGTTATTTTTGAGAAACTTTTAAAATAGGCAGTTTAGGGGTGTCATTGTAATGGTTTCATGTAAATCTGGCATTCAATATTGACCGTTTTATAGATAAGCATCCATGGATGTGATCTGTGTCATTGACATACAGATAGTTTGCATATTATATAGTTAATAATGCATTTGACAAAATAAAGGAAAATATTGAGCTGTGTTAATACATATGAATCTTCCTGAAAAATGAATTTCACTCTACAATTTAATCTTTGTATTTGTCCAGATATGTGTTGGTACATACCTGTTTGTCTTAATTTGCCAACGACAAAAAACATGACTGGATCTAGTGACATTTTATTCTAGTCATGGACCAGCCAGTTCTCCCAGTTCTCCCAGTGTATCGATATTAGACAATGTCAGCCCGTAGGTGGGGGAGGTGAACACAGGTGAGACAGGTCGTTGCTGTGATTTTGCTTGACAAACCACAAAACAATCCATGAAACACAGGAAGGAACAGATCAGTTGTGTTTGCATTGAATTGTGTAGTAGAATCTCTCTGTTTGATCCTCACAGGATTTTAGTGTAATATTACTGCTCACTTTGTACCTGGGTGACAGTATTACCTCATACTTGCATGCTTGGCTGTTCAAATTGCGCCATAGTTGTGTGCATGTGGAGTTCTCTCTCTGTCATGTGGTTTCCTTATTTAACCTAACTGCATACCTTTGGACTGAGTTCTTCGTCTTGCATGTCGTAACATCATAAACAAGTGCTATACTGTACCTTCCAAAAGGCAAGGTCCTAGGCTATTTCCAAAAAAATTTGATCAACTTTTACTGTACTGTTTTCAAGAAAATGCACTTTGAATTCCATGATTTTAATGCGCTTTTAGTTATAAGAGCTACATTGGACGGACCATTTCTCGGAATTTTCCCATAATGTTTAAACAAGTCTTATACTTTCTGAAAGGAATGGTCCTATGCTATTTTGAAATAAAATTTGGTCAATTTTTACTGTGCCATTTTCAAGTTAATGCACTTTGAATTCCATAATTTTATGTGCATTTGGTTATATGACCCAAGTTTGACAGGACATATCTCAGGATTTTCTCATAATGCATAATCAAGTCTTATACCTTCTGAAAGGCAAGGTCCTAAGTTATTTACAGACAAAAATGTCAACTGTACCATTTACTGTACCATTTTTAAGTGAATGCACTTTTTAATCCATGGTGTTTGTTATGTGAGCCGTTTGACAGGCCATTTCTCACAATTTTCCCATAATTCTTTAGAAGTATCTTATACCATGTGCTAAACAAAGTCCTCGCCTGGAATCAGTGCAGCTTTGGCAGGTTTTACTGTACTATTTTCACGTGAACCCCAACTGAAGTTGTGTTGCAGGTCCCAGGAATTTGGTACCACAATAAATAAGATGACCTGCATTAAGCATAAATAACTGGAACAGATGAACACGGCGCGTTGCGTTTCGTCTCCAAATCACTAATGTTTTATTAAACTTCAACAGCATCCTGACCTATAGGCTACGTCTCAAGTTTCTAGTTCCCCTTTCATTACATGAATGATCTAATTCAGCACCCGCCTTTTCAATGTAATTAGTCCATAAGTAACCAGCTTTTACATGTTTCCCCAAATGTATTCCCTTGACCCTTTACAGAACTTATACAAAATATAGTCAATCAAAAATACTTTTCTTTTGCCACAATTTTCAGACACCTCCATTGCCATATAACCGACATTTATACAGATTTAAAGCTCGGGCCTGCAATAAATGCATCATACCGAAATGTATAAGCTAGAATAACCTGATGCTCTTACGGATGAGTATATTTTAATAACTTAACTACAATAAACCACTTCTCTCATCATCCATCATTATTTCCACATCCCGCACGTAACATACAGTATACCTCTTAACCGTATAACCGATATAAAGATTAATATAAGGCGTATAAAATAAACGTCAGCTTAACTAACATGTGCTGTTATATTACCTCTAGTGTGCAGGAGCCAGCAATAAAGTGTACTTATAATCGTCCCAAATAGGCTTATTCACTTTTTCCCGCGGCAACATGGCGTCAACATACACTTCAATAAGAGCCCCTTTCGTCGGTATTCCTGCCATCTGCGCTCATTTACAAACCATAAAATAATCCATTATAATTATTATTTTATTTAATAAATAATTTATTTTACTCCAATCAAAGGTTAGATGTTTGTTAATATTCTGAATGCAAGTTCAAGCATGCAGATGTCCTTTTATCATAGATGCCAACATTACCCATACGTGAAAAAACCACATGGTTCATTTAACACTATCAAGAATCTTTCTTGTTTCCATTATATATGACAACGCATGACATCAATGTATTTTATATGTTCACTATAAGTCAGTGTTTTTGCTTGTATGCTTATGGCCACATTCATACCAAATCCCACACTTAACATGTAAGACACCCAAGGGAAAAACGTATAAGAAAAATATAAAGTTTTTAAAATATATAATTTTTGTCACACCCGGCTCGTCCTAAACAAGCAAAACAGGAAACAGCTGTTTACAATCGGGGTTTCACACTAGGGAAATGGGGCGGCGTGGCACACAGGAGGATCGGACCAGAGCATGTGAGTGGAGCGTGAGCTAGGAGAGGAGCGGTCGGAATTTAGTCAGAGCGCAGAGCGGTTTTTTTTTTTTTATTAAGGCTGGAGCGGTCGCTCTGTCTCGTTCCAATTTCGCTCCGATACCGCTCACACTACCATTCTGAGGCGTGCGCAAATCTTCCCAGAATTCATCTATACAATTATCAAGACTATTACAGAAATTGGCCGAGATGGAATTCGCAAAGTATTTCACAAAGGAAACTGATAGATCATACAAGTGTAATATTCTTATCAAACGTATAGATGACAATAATGTAGAGCAAGAATAACAAGGTGGTGAAACTGTTTCAGTGAGTAAAGATAAACTTTGGAATCATTTTTCTCAGAAACACGGGAGTGTTTACAGACGGAAGCCAGAGCAAAACGTGAGCAACTTTTATATGGTTGTAGTATAGGCCTATCAAGTCTATAAATTAAAGTATAAAAGCCTATATTGGTAAATATTGGTAATCAAATAAATTCGTTGTCATTCAAAGTAGGTCTAATAGGATTTTTTAAATTTCACGTAACGCTGTTAGTGAAATTTTATTTTATAGAGACGCAGCAGCAGCATCAACAGAAAAA